ATATATCGCCGGCAACTCCTTTTTAAGTAATAGATCGTCATAACCGCGTCAACGTGAGCGGGCGCAGCAATTTCCGAATCACGATTTCCGGACCTCACAGTATGTACGACGTCGACCAAATCACGTGCATTATTCGTATTTTCGTTATTAGTAATACAAATTAATTGATATATTTCCAATAACGATAATACTTGTGTGTGTACGTACAGTACGTACGTACGTACATGCATATGCAGCAATAAGTACCATATAAACAACATGCAATATCCTTAAATGATTTAAATGTATCTATTCCAAATATAGGTCTCATAAAAACATTTGACCTAGTACGGATAGAGTATTTGTACGTTTTTAACGTGTTATAAAAATTATTAATAAATACCATACTCGTTATAGAAAAGTTTCTTTCATTATATAAACAAGAAATAAGTTACAAAATCCTAACAAACAAACATTTGACGAAATTATTACACGTGAGTGTGACAAACAAAAGTTAAAATAATTTTATTGGTAGAGATTTGGTTGGGACCCTTTTGATCGATAATTTAGTTGCATGCAAAGAGTTAAGAAAAGGAAAAATACATATTTAAAATTTTGAATTTATGAAGTTTAATTGGTGTATTTATTCGATTATCTGTTAAAGGGAAAGTTTTCAATAGCTATCGAAATTAAGACTCAGTAAATATGATGAGTTTGATTTTATGCATGCATTTGGTAAAAGAACAAAATTCTTTAGGAAAAAATCGATATTTGAAAACGTGAAAGATAAATATTTTGTAAATATTCATATCTCCTCGTCAAAGACTTATCATACATAATTACATACCCCTTTAAATCAATATTAAGGAATGTTATAAATACCAAAATAAATCCATTAAAAAATTCACCTTATTTTTTTTCGATTTAATTCTCTTGTTAATATTTGATATTTTTTACAAAGATAGATAACTTTCATTTTTCCTTTCCCCCTCTTTCGTCCCCCGATGCATGCTAAGCATGACGCCGTCGAAAATTTTAATATTTATTCTCTATGACATTCTTATTATTTTAACACCTGTTCTCGCTGATATGTCATCAGACAATTTCATTAATGATACAAATGATACAAAATTAAACTTTGATACCTCTAACGAGAATACATCTTTTCGCCTTGATAGTCCAGAAAATATTGGTGATTTGAAACTTGTGGTTATAACTACTTATATGATGGCTTTTTTTAATACTGTTGGTTGTTCGTACGTTTTTTATCGGAGCTGGCTGCAATGGAAAATTTCATCAAAAAGTTTATCAATGATATTTAGGTTACCTTTTTACACTGCTATTGCTGGTAAGCCTTTTTTTTTACGATATTTTTGATTTTAATATAATAATTGATATAATGATTGATATAATGATTGATATTTGATTATCACTTATTTTTTGATACTTTTATGATAGATGCGGGGATTGATATCGCTGGAATTTTAAATATAGTAAGTATCGTTCAACCTTATTATTTATATCAAATTATCTAATAAATTTTAAAAATTTTTTGTATAAATTATTTAATTTAATAGAGCCATACAGCTTTTTATGCCAGAGTTTGGGATCAACCAACGTGTACAATATTGAGTGTGGTGTATTTTTTTTTCATCACCATTAACTTGGCTCTATATGGTACCGTAAGGTATTTACACTTTGAATTTAATCTTATAATTTAAATTCATATCATGCTTTGTATTTGATTTATCATATGTTTGTTTTTTAGCATGACAACTTATCTTCGTGTTTGTCGACAATTTTATTTTGATCTTGGAAAATTTGATTATAAATTATGGTCTGTTGTTCTGGCTATTGCTACGGTTTTTCAATTAATTTCTGGTCCATATTACGGTCCTAGAAAGTATTGGTATGCTTTAAATTTTGTTCTTAATTCTTTAATTCTTTTGTTTTATTATTCGTTTTATCATTGTTTTTATCATTTTTTTGTTTGATTGTTTTACTCTGCGTTTTCCTGATTGTTTGTTTTGTATTTTTTTTTTTTATTGCTTCTAATTCTAACCTTATTGTAATATTATTATAATCTTGTTCTAAAATTCCTTTTTTTTTTAAAGGTGTGCTGCGAAACCAAACAACATTATAATACCGATTATAAGTTTTGTTTTAATAAGCTTAATTTTCTTCCTTGTAATAATATGTTATATATCAATTCTTAAAACTTTACTTGGCCATGCAAATGAGTTTTATGTGGATGAAAATAACATAGATGACAAGGATGTTAGAATTAGAAATAATAATCCCGGAAGTGAGTTGGCAAGAACAAGAAGTAGTCTAGAAAAGCGAGTATCCAATAAAATAATAAGCTACGTTCTTGTTTTTATTTTGCAGGTACTTTTTTCATTGTTTCTGTTTGAAATGATTAGATTGTTTTATTTTCTTTATTATTGTTTTTTTTTTTTTTTTGTTGTTGTTGTTTATATATATTTATATTTTAGTGGACTCCTGTGCAGATTTTTTGTATTGCTAAATTTTTTGGAGTAAGTATAGTAAAAAATACAATTTGATCATATTCACATTCTGTTTACTCTTAAATTTTTTTTGTTATTTAAAAAAAAAAAATAGGTTGATTCCGCGTGGATATACGTTGTCTGCGTCATGGGTAAAATTTTCTCTTTGTATCCTAATTTTCTAATATAATAATTCACCTAATTCCTGAATTCTAACCAAACTATTTCAAAAAGGTATTCATTTTGGTGGATTAGGTAACGCTATCCAATATGTACTTAACGAAGGTTGGCATCCTCGTAATGTCGATCCAAACGTGAGCTGGTCCTTTGCAGAATCACCATCTCGTTTCGTCAAACGTCTTTATCATAATTCTCAAAATATGAACGTCCCATCATCCATTTCTTCACTTCCATCATCTTCACGTCCACCATCCTCATCAACCGTTTCAATTTGTGTCAGAAATTCACAACAAATCAACAATAAGATGAATAATAAGATGAATAATAACAAAAACCACAACAACAACAATAACAACAATAATAATAACAATCTAGGGAATAATCTAGGCAATAATCTAGGGAATAATCTAGGCAATAATCTAGGGAATAATCTAGGCAATAATCTAGGTAATAACCTAGGTAATAACCTAGGTAATAACCTAGGTAATAATCTAGGTAATAATCTAGGTAATAATCTAGGTAATAATAACGACAATAACAATGATGATAATAATAGTCATCATCATCGAAGTTTTTACTATAATCATCATCATTCATCATCATCAATTTCCAATCCACATTTTTCTGCGTATAAAATTTTTGATAAGTATGGAGCAACTAATTCTATAGATAGTGATGTTTTAAACAATGCAATTAGTAGCAACAATAGTGTAAATGAAATGAATAATAACCCTTATAATATTGAAATTAACATTGATATTAATAATTTTGTGACAGAAAGTGAAATGGCATTAAGTAAAGTGAAGATTAAAGAAAAATAGTGTTAATTAAAAAATAAGGTTGAACATTAAGGGGATGAGATGATCGATTTAGCATTAGTATTTGTAACATTTGATTTTCTGGGTGATGTTTTGTACCTGATTCATTTGATTCATGTAAATTTCAATTTGTACAAAGCACATATATTTCATTACACTTTTTTAAATGTGTGTTAATGTATATCCCTTATTCTGTAACTGATTAAAATCATTATTTGTTAATCTACATAAGATCCTAAGGGACAGTGTGTAGTGATGGCATTGATGTAACCTGATTAAGCGAATTTAGAAACTCATAACTAATTAAATTTAATTATTAATGAAAATCTCCGATTTCTTATAACTAAGCTCGGTATTTACAATAAACTTTATGCATGCATGCACTGCTGTGAGATATGGATGTGAAGACCTGTTGTCGTTGTTTTCCATATTTTTGGTCGGTCACATTAGTCGGAGTTTAAGTAACATGACTCGACATGACCAGCATGGCCAAATGACATTTACAGCATCGTATCATTATCGTTATGCATATATTAAATTCTATTTTACTATATATATACTGTAGTTTACTTTTTAGTTCTTACGAATTCTGAAACGTTATACGTAAAAAGGTTGATTTCTTTATGTTTATATTAATAATTGAAACCTTTTTATCTTTTTTATCTTTTTTTCTTTTTTGCACTAAAAGACAATGATACGTTTTAACTACAGTGCTAAATTAATGTTAAAATGTTGTATAACTCGGGGTCATTAATAATTTTGTATTTGTTACACTAGCATTAATTATCGATACTGCATACAATTCCCCTTATTTACACTAAAGTAAAATTTGTCTGGTTGATGATATAATAAATATATGGTGTAATATTAAAGTTGCTTTTTAATACCAATCTTGTGAATACTTATAGCATAGCGCAACAGTTAATATTAATGTTACATAGAGAATTCTTTGAAAGTATAAATGACCTCCTCAAACATTATAAATCAAGTTCCTTCACTTAATTTTTTAAGTCTTTGATAGACTCAGAAAATAACGCTGTTGAGAGAACTTTTTTTTTTTTAACGTTATCGAAGGACATTATTCTTTTCCTTTCTCTCAACAATTTGTTTTCTTATGCTTTGATAGCTTTTTTTTTTAAAAAAAATTTTTTGGTGTTTCATTTTAATACCCTTATTATAAAAAAATGGTAGCGATTAAATCTTTAGGTGTCATTTTAATTATAAATGCAATTTTATTTATTAAAATTGTTTGTGGGGATGATCTGGATCTTGATTATATGCTTAGTCTAGTTAATGCTGCACGTAGTGATAATGGTGTAGAACCTCCACTTCAGTTAAATAGGTAAAGTTTAATAATTTTATGGATTAGATTGCAATATATATGTATTTTATATCAAAATATACGTATATATTTATATAATTTTTAATTGCATGATTTCAAATTGACTTTTAAACACTAGCTACTGTAAATACATATACAATATATATATACATATGTTAAAATCTAATTTTTTAATAATTATAATGTTTTCAGTCTCCTTATTGGTACAGCTCAAAGTCATTCCGAAAGAATGAATGAAAATAACGATTTAGATCATGATGATGAAGATGGCGATTTTGCAACCAGAATTACTAATTCTGGTTATGATTGGGATGCTATTGCTGAAAATATAGCTGAAGGATATCCCGATGAGGATTCGGTTATGGATGGGTTATTATTATTATTATTATTATTATTATTATTATTATTGTATTATTATTATTTCATTTCGTATTATTTATTAGTACTTTTAATAATAAAAATTAATTTATCAATTACTATAGGTGGATGAATTCTGAGCCTCATAGAGAAAACATTTTAAGCCCTGATTATAGGGATTTTGGTGCTGGACGTTCTGGTGATTTTTGGACTCAAGATTTTGGTTGTACATTTGAAGAAAGTGATGCTGAAGCGAACTCCTGATCAAAGTTAAGATTCAGATCCTGATCTAGGTTCAAATCCAAGTTTCGATCAAATTTCAGATCCAGAAATTCTAATCAAGTGTCAAATATAATCTTGTCAAAAGTTAAAAATTCTGTAAAAATAAATTTGTGATTTTTTGTACTTTTAGAAAAAGATTGATAGAAATTTAAATTAAATAATTAATTTATTATAAATGCGTTACCAAATTTAATATACGTATTTTCTTAACAAGACTGTATATTTTTGTATTTGCTAGTATTTTATATATAACATTTTGATTTATGACTTTATTATAATATTGAAGCAATAATTGAAATACATTTGTACTCAATAAAGTCACCTGCTCGTAATACAGATATTGGGTGATTATGGATGTTCACAAACGTCTCAATCAATTAATTGACTAATGATCATGATAACGCTCAAGCATCACAATGACGACATTTATAAATGCTTGAGCGTACACTTTCTATTTTTCATAATCTTCTCTACACCTCCCAAAAACCTAATAAATTTTTTTTTTTATTCAAACAGCTGCCGAAGCTTCAACTTCAGTTTCACTGGCTTCACCTGATTTAACATTAAAATTTTGGTGCAACAGTAACAGAATCAACTTATAGAGTCGTTAGCGAAAATTACTTTGTGGAAAAAAGTAAATTTTTTAAAAATTTTTTTATTGGCTATCTATAGTACAATAGTAATCTTGCAGTTGCTACAGTAATTTCGCACTGAAAGTATCATAGGTAATACGAAACATTTTTTTCGAAAAAAGTTATAACTTTCATTATCGGTTAAATATAGAGAAACATCTGCCCAAAATCCTTCAGTTTTGGGTCATTTTTGATGAAAAACTATTAAATTTAGGTGAACGAAAACGGAAAAGCAGTATTCATTATAGTTTGATTAAAGGTTAAAAGATGGGTTGCATTATTACATTCATATCAAGGTATCGATTATTTGCTTTAAAATCTTCGAGCATTAAAAATAAAATAGCTATCTTTTTTTTAGATCGATTAGAAACTTGTTGAGGATTCGTTGTTTATCATGTAAAAAATGCAAATGTAATGCTAAATTTTTGAAGAAAAAAGATAGTTTATAGCTCGTTGTTCTGTTTATCAAAATGGCAGCTCATTTGGTTAATTTATTCAATTTTCGACTATTAAAAATTTGCCTCCAATCCATTGAGTTAGTTGCTTGAGAACATAACAAGAGGTGACTATAAATATTAATTCTACAATAAATACTGTATATTCTGTTGACAGGACGTACCGGCAAATTTGATTGTCAATATACCAAGATTTTCGCAAGTTGAGTATTTTTTTGATCCAATGATCTTTAGCAGCTTCAATCGTTGTATTTTAATGGATCTTAATACAGATAGAATTGGGATCCTTTGAATATTCGTTATGCTATTCACTAAATATTTACGGGTTTGGACATCCACAAGCAATATTGAATGAATATTCGAATTTTACATGGATACTTAAAATGATCAAATAAAATAGACGACTATTCACGAATTTTGTGTAATTAATATTCATTAATAAATATTCGCAAATTTGTTAACCTAACATTCGTTTTTAAATTGAATATTAATTTTAATCGTGAATATTCATGAATCCTCCACATAAAGAGATTATAATTTTCTCATGTAATAAAATTTATGACGTCAATTAACAGATTTGTTATAAATAAATTTAGTAAGCTTTTCAAATGTGTTACGAGATAAAAAATGAATATTGTAACACTGTCATTTTTAAAAATTTACAGTATAAAAGCGATTTGACAAATAAGAATTTCAATTTCAATTAATTTTTTTTTTCATATAAAATTATTTTGATTTGATAATGATTAAATTTTAAGTTAATTTTAAATACACTAATTAAGTGAAATTGAATTGTCTAACCAACTCGAGTCAGTTAGAATTCTATTGCAGCACAAGTTGATTCGGAATTCACAAAAAATTCGATTTCAACGTACAATGTAGATAATAATCCTTCTCAAAAACCAAATGCATCCCATTATAATAAATATAAATAAGTATATAGCTGGTATTATATATTATACAAAGAGATCAAAAAGAAATGGCTATAAAAAAAAATTTCAATAAGCAGTTTTATTATTCAAATATTACTAACAATGATGTTCTCAAACTAGAGTTGCAGGTGAAACTGGTGCACCGATGGTAAAACTAGAGTTATAGATAAAGCTAATCTTCAATGGTGCACCAATTTCCTGGTGAAATTAATTAGTTTCACCAACAACTCTATCTCAAACTAAACTTACGAGTAAGAAATTGATATAACTTCTAAAAATTTCAATATAATGTTTATAAAAGCGAAGAGAAAATTTCAAGATTCAAGTGTGAAAAAGAATGTTTAGGGTCAGTAATTGTTTTGGGAGGACATATGCAGGGTGCAAAATAGTAATCCCATGATAATCAAGATAAAAAAACTGCATCCTATGTCAGGTATATAGTACGTGGTACAGTACGGTAACGCAAGTTAGTGCGGACGTTAAAAAAAATAAATTAAAAAATTATACTCAGACGTACACATGTGTAGTACATAATCAAATTACGTATACTATGTATTATCGATTGCATGATTTGTATACGTACAATATTTATCGATTATGTATATTATCGATTAAATTAGTGATTAATTGCATAATTCCTATATTTTGTCAATAAAATCAAAATCTCTTTATAGTAACAATTGAATTCTTTATTCGATCGTTGCAAATATCGCTATCCTATATTTGTTGATAAAACCTCTTTATAGTAAATCAACTTCTTTATTTGATCGAATATGGACGGTATAGTGGATATATCTGACATTGAAAAATTTCAATATGACCAAGTAGACCTGAATTTGAACAAGTAAATATATAAATGTTTAAAATAGTAAATTCAATCTTGTTCATAAATTTGAAATTATTATCAGGAATCGAAAGCAGAGTTGTTGGTAGAAGAATCGATTGAAGAAATTTCAGAAACAGCATGTTTTACATCCTGGTGTTACTATCGATGGGAGAGCAGGAAATAGTAAATGTGCTGGTTTAGAGCAGGACAGTAAATGATACAATTCAGAAATATGTGTCTATGAAAGGATATTGAGCAAGTATGGTTAGATATAATTAGAGATGTAAGAATAATAAATTTTAAGGAATTGGGAGTGCAGATATAAGTCTGTAATAGTGCTTGGCAAAATCAAACTTTTTTTTGACACTCAAATACATGTGATGGACTAACTTTTAAATCAATACAGCAATACTATATTTTATAGTTATTATATTACCATATTGCTGTATTGATTTAAATGTCAAATCATCACATGTATTTGAGTGTCAAAAAAAATTTTGATTTTGCCAAGCACTAGTCTGTAATTAGTAAATCCAAACAATATAGAGATCAACAATGAATTAAGATTGATTGATGTATATAGGATAATATTTAGTAGAGAAAATAAAATAACAATAAATGTTAACTTAATGCTAACAAGAAGTGTATAAGAATTTGATTATGCAAGATAACTATAAGTTGCCTTTGGCTTTGAAATGCCTATTAACTTATATGTTTTAGTTTTTTATTTAAACAAATCAAAGTCTGAAGAAACTTTATTGAGGTTAAAAGTGGGCCTTTAAATATAGAATCATTTTATATAATTAATTACAATATTTAATTGATGGGACAATTCTCTTCTGCTAAACAATACAAGATTACAAAGAATCTTTTCTTCTAATATCAATAAAATTTTTTTATACTATTTTAAGACTTATTACTGAAATATTTAATGCATCTTCCTCAATAAACTTTAGTATAAAAGTTCTTAATAATTCTTTTAAAGGACAAGCAGACAGTTTTTATAGCAAGTAAATACTTGTTGTTCATCCTTGTAGACACTGTTAGATTCTGATTCTTTGTCTAATTTCAGAATCTCTTTTGATAACAATACAAGAATTAAAGAATAAAAAAAAGGTTAAATTATCTTGTATTAATATGATAATATAATTTGTATAGTTATTATCAAACATTTGAAAACATATATCTTTAATCTTGTTGTAGTATAAATAATATATAAGGAAATAGAATTTGACATGTATAGAAAATATAAATAAAAAATGATAACTATATATATATAAATAGAAATAAAATATGTAGCATAAGAAAAAATACATTAAATGATCATAGTGTAATCTTAGGTGGATAATCAGGAATAATCTAGAAATTAGCAAATAATGTAATAAAAATTTTTTTATAGTAATACTAGCTTTATATAAAAACTATAATCTATTCCAATATCTTTGTAAAATATTTGTTTACTTTACTAGAAGGTGTTGCAACAATATTTCATATTGTAAATTGGGCAGATTTAAACCATATATAGAAAAATGTAAAATTTTTTTTTAAATTTTAAATTTAATTTATACAACTTTATAATTTATTTATATTATTTATAGTAAATACAATATTTTATAGACAGTAGTGAAATCTATTTAATTAAAAAGTCACTATATTTTGGCAATATTCAAGTAAATAAAGAAAAGTATGATTATTTGAGAATCAAAATCTGTTAATTACAGATCCTTTACTTACAAGTATTGACTACAATAAGGTTAATATTGAATCATTATTATAAAAAAGAATTGCTGAAAATCAAGATATTGATTTTAAAAAATAAATACTTATATATATGTATTTTTTTATATATATATTTTAATAATATAATAAAGAAATATTTTATAGTGGCATATCAAAACTAAATTAACAAGATTTTTTAAATTAGAATATTAAATAAAATATAAATTTCTTTTAAATATAACTTATTTAACCAAATTTTTTTCTAGATCTACTTGTTTTAAAAAATTGATTCTATTCTTTTATCTCTTATTTTTAATATTTTTAAACTTTTATATATTTAATAAAAATTTCTTAAAACTAATCTAATTTGCAATTTAATTATTAAGTTTATAATAGTCTCGATAAAATTTTGAATATTAGAATTTAGAGCAGAGGATTGTTTAGAAAGGCTATTAATTAAATCTTCTCAAAAAATAAACTATTTGTAAAATTAGAGTTCCAATCCAGTTAGTGTTTATCTGAATAATTATTAGATATCCAGATCTAAATTTATTTAGATAAACAGATGACAGACTTATTCAGATTAGAGCTCTATATAAAATTATCTTTTAAATTTGTTCTATGGTCTTTTGTATTCTCAAGATTTAAAAGACTATTAGTTTGATTCAAACTTTTTAAATTCAAAATATATATAAAGAGTATTTGAATATAAGCTTGCATCAAGATGTTAAGAAGTCTAATTCTCATAAGTTTCTTGAATTTTGTATTTGAGATTAAGGCTTTAATCAAAAGTATATATATACCTATTTATTTAATTTAAATCTATATAGTAAAAAAGCATTGTATAGAAAAATTTGTAATAGTATATAATTGAATTTTAAAACTACATATTTAATTATCATGAAGTCAATAGCTGTTTATTATAAATTCTTTGTATATTGTTTGAAATATATCATTTTTATTAGTATATGATCTTAAAGTCTAAATTAAAAGAAATACGAATTAAATTAAATTAATAACAAGAACAGTTTGATAATGAAAACTTATCTGTGTAATCAATCTTCAAGTTTTTTATCATAAGGACCCTAATTTTGCATAATTTTCTATATTTTAAAACAATTTATCTTTTGTATTGTATATAGTCAAAGTTTTTAATATTAATTTCTATAATTTAAATATATATTATATTAACTAGTTATAAATTAACTTTAAAAAAAATTATTTACCAAAGATTCCTTGGGTTAAATTTATCATTCATGACTGCAATGGTTATTGCTTCTCCTGTAAAGTAAGTAGCTAAGGTGTTCTTAGAATAATAATCTGCCACATATTCTGAAACTAGTATTTTAACTGCAGACCCACAAAACATTTTTGATTGCTTTATTAAAAATGAATTTGCAATTCAACAATTAGGCAAATACAAGAATAAATAATACTTTAATAGTTCTGTTGTTTTGATCTTGGTTACAGCCTAGCATTAAAATTGAACTTGGGGGTATTCTTTATATAGGTTAATGTATCATATTTTAAATAATCTTACTTGGCATATATGATTACTAAATATTTAATATAATTTTGAGTTGAAAAACTAAACATTTATGAGCTATCTATATTCTGATAATATGATCTGCAATTATTTAAATAGTTATTATTTTTCTTTAAAAAAAATATAAGTTTATATATAAGACAAATTTTGATCACCTTAGATTCTTGTTCTGGAAAAATTATTGTTACATATTGTTCAATATTGTATTGTTGTAACATGTCCAAAAATTCTTTCTAAAACATCAAATTATTACTAGTACAAAAATTTTTTTTTAAATGTATTTACTATCAAAATCTTGCCCAATTTTTGTACATTGTGATGGGCAAACCAGGCGCAGTACTGCTCTAAATTAGGCTGTGCTATTTCTATTTTATTTTTTATTTTATTTTTTTTCTATTTTCAGCAAAAATTGCTATTTGTAGTTAGTAAAAGATAGACTTGGATAAAAAAGACAAAAAAGATAAATTAGATAAAAAAGATAGAAAAGACAAAAAGGATATAATAGATAAAATCGATTTAATTTTACCTTTTCTTAGCTTGTAAGTTTTATCTATATAAAGAGCTTTTTGCTTACCTTTGAAAAGGGGAAAAAGAAAAAAAGAAAAAACTCATTAGAGTTTTAAAAACTTCAAAATCCTCATAGTAGAAGTTGTTCCTTAAGTAAATTGTCCTCTCTGACCCAAATCATTCCAAATAGTAGTATAGATTTGTTATTGCTTGTAAGAAAACCAAAGACAAGTAAAAGAGCCCAATTCGTATTAAATTGCTCTTATTTAAAATACTGATTACGCCGTGACGCATTGTTATCACTAATTAGTATAACAATCAAATCAATATTCGTGAAGCAGAGGTCTTTTTCTATTTTTAACAGCTGCCCTACATTGTTTGGTGTGTCGAAAGTGCGTCAGGAGTAACTCGGGTTTGCATAAGAAGAGCATCTTACTGCATTGCCAATACAATGTAAAGTTTCCCAATTATATAATATAATTGGAAATTTACTTTGTATTAGATATGCAGGAAGATGCTCTCCTTATTCAAACCCGGGATATATTTAACGTACCCCGACGCACTTTTGATGCACCAAACAAGGTAGGGCAGCTGTTAAAAATCGAAAAAGACTTCTGCTTATTCGTGATCTTTCATTGTTGCATATTAAAATTGCTTCGATCAACCAAATTACCTGTGACCTCAGAACCTCGTGACATCGGTCATATATTGAAAATCCAATTCCCGATATCTCTTACCCGTGACGTAGCTCAAAGATCTCAGATTGAAGTCGAACATTAAATCACCGATCGCTGTCGGAAATCGTGATTACGTAACACATGATATCGTTAAGAATCTTAACGATCTAAGTATCTTCAAATTAGAGAAAAAGAATTAGTGTTGAGATAATCCCGATATGACAAAGCAACTTAATAGTAAAAAGATAAGAAGACTTGCCTAAGGCTAGTGTTGGTGGCAAAACCGACGAAACTCGCTGCGCCGAATTCGATGTCACGGGACCCAAAAACGTGACGAAAACCCCGAATTGGAGCCCACAAAATCGATAAGGAAATCGTGAAGAATCAGTTTTCCCCGAAGCCTCTTTGAGGAAAACAAACCAAAACATTGCCCAAG